TTCATCTCATCCTCCCAATTTACCAACAATTTTCCCCATAATTATAATGTGTTGCTTTTTAGTTTTTTAAAGTGGTAAATAAATCGCCAGTGCTGTCTGTTGTTCTCGTAATCATAACACACTGGGCTAAAAATATGTCTAGCTGGTCTGATGTCGATGGACGCGGATCTTTTTGAGTCGCTTCTACACCTCGTACTTTAGCCTGGCCTGGAAATGATCTTATTTTGGTGGACGCGTAGACTAAAACAAGTTAGCAAGCAAGCAAGCACTCACGAACACACACACACACACACACACACACATATATACACACAAACACACACACACACACACACACACACACACACACACACACACACAATCAAAGAGTACGGCGGGCGTATTTTATGTATTCAGGGGTCAAAGGTCCAGCCAATCGTAGCCCGGGTTTACGCCCTCTGTGTAGTCGCATGTAGGTTAAAGGTTTCTCTACTTTAACTTCCAGGTCGTCGAGTACAATCGCGGCGGGGCTGCAGTGTGCACTGAAACCTCGACCCGATAGGCCCGACCAGACCCGACCCGACCCGACCCGAACGCGTACGTGGGCACCCTCTATAAAGATACAGCATGCCGCGTTTAACGAACGAAGAGCGCAATCAGGCATTTGGTATGCTGAGGTCCAATACGCCAGTAGCGAATGTTGCAAGGACCTTCAATGTGACAAGAGACACGATATATCGACATATGAATCGTTTGCAGACGTCTGGATCCGTGCAGGATGGTCCCCGGACGGGTAGTCCTAGAACTACAACACCAGCCCATGACCGGTACATTCGGGTCTTGCACCTACGAGATCGCTTCCGGCCTGCTACCAAGACAGCCAGGGAGTGGAAGGGACGGAGAACCATAAGTGCGCCGACGCCTTAGACCTCAGCCGGTCACCTTGGATCAGATACGTACAGCACTTACAAACATATGGAACAACATTCCACAGCATCCCATACAAAGACTTGTGTGAAGCATGCGGCAGATGTGCACAGAAGTCGCCAATGCCCACGGCGGCTATATGCGGAATTAACTGTGACTTTTCATTTTAGGGCCTACAATTAAAAGATCAAATTTCAGGAAATAAAGTTCATTTAAAAAAATTGTTTTTTATGTAATTGATTTGTGAAATGTTCAAACTTTCCTTATAGAGAGATTGTTTCTGGTTAAAATCAGTCTTTCAATACAAAAAAAACACTAAAAAAAGGGGTGTCTGGGTTTTTTTGACGCCAAGCATAATAATAATAATACTAATAAAAATGATGATGATAATGATACTGATAATAATGATGATGACAATAATAGAAGAAGAAGAAGTAGAAGAAGAAGAAGAAGAAGAAGAAGGAGGAGGAGGAGGAGGAGGAGGAGGAGGAAGAGGAGGAGGAGGAGGAGGAGGAGGAGGAGGAGGAGGAGGAAGAGGAGGAGGAGGAGGAGGAGGAGGAGGAGGAGGAGGAGGAGGAGGAGGAGGAGGAGGAGGAGGGGGAGGAGGAGGAGGAGAAGGAGAATAAGAATTACTCGCTCATTTATTATTAAGCGCCTATCCACACTTTACAGCATGCCCTGGGCGCTATAATATTATTTGAAGAATGCCACTCTCTATGCAATGTATAGTATTTCGCTTGTAAATGTGAACATAACAAATTTGAGGGGGTTTTGTGCGGGGGGGGGGCTGTTGCAATTCATCTTCTTTCTCTATTATCCTCCTCTTCTTCTTTCTTCATTTTTCCTCCTACTCCTGCTCCTCCTCGTCCTCCTCCCCCATGTTCTCTTCTTCCTCCTGCACCCCCTCCTCCTCCTCCTCCTTTACTGTCTTTTTTCCAACAATCTAATTACATCTACCCCTACCACTACCACTACCACTACCCCTAACATCAACACTACCCCTACCCCTAACCCTTAAAGTTATAATCGATTTGCAGAATTCTCTAATTGGTGCAGACACCGGAGAAAGCCAAAAAGGCAAGGTAAAACAGATAATGTAAAAATTATGTTTGAAAATTTACAATAGAAAAAAAAAGCTAGAACTTTATAAGGACGGAAAGTGGGAAAGTAAGAAGTTCGTACACTTTGGCTGCAGACATCTCTGTCCCCTGTAGCCGCAGGCTGGCTCATCCACTGGAGGTTTCCCGCCCAGCCACTTGATCCTCTTTCCGTCAAACGTGTGAAACTTCTGGAAGAACAAACATATATGTACAAGAAAAAAAATAAACAAAAAGAAAAAGAAATGAAAAAGTAAAAAAAAACAGCACTAAATCAGTTCTATGTATTGAATTTCTGAACTGTAGCTATATAGGTCTTGTCATGACGTGTGGCGTCGGTGGCCTAGTGGTTATAGCCCGCATGATAAAGCTTGTTTGGCGTCTTAGTTTTTTATTCTCTGATGATTCTAACTGAGTTTTCGTTGCTGATTTCAAATTTAATGGGGGCCAAATGGTAAATTTTGGCCATTTTTATCTAAAAGTGAAAATCCAAAATGGCCGCTATAGATGCATGTGTTTGAGGATATCTGGCATTGCAGACAGTTCTCAATTACTTAACATTCCAATAGTACCAGCAAATTTTACGCTTACTTAAGTGTTTATGGGTGCGGTGTTGAAGAAAGGAACACTTGTCTTTAGTTTTCAGGCCACTAGCACAACGTGCGACCTTCAGTGGCTGACACTCAGCTCTGTCGAACTTTTGTTATTAGTACACAGAGGTGTGGTGTGACGAAGTATTTTCTGTCAACGTCTCTTTGCTTTGCTAGCTGAGTCTATATCACGACGGTGGACAGCTGCAGGCGGTTTAGCCTGTGACATGACGGCGAGAAGAGCTGTTAGCGTTAGCACCCTCGAGCGAATCTTGGTGGATTCGTACATGAGTCGCTCTGCCATCATTCTTGCATGATACGGGTTTGTGTATTTCAACCAGCAGAAAAAAGTGATGCCCAAAAGATACAAGTTGGCCCCCGAATGATATGAAGTCTAGAGGCCCCGAGGAAGCAGAATCACCTAAAAAAAAAAACTTAAAGAGGAAAAACCACGTTCTAGTACTTGTACCTAGACCCGGCTCTCGGACTATTAGGCTACTGGACTCGTAATCGTGAGATAGCAGGTTCGGGTATTCGAGCCTCCGACGTTGTATCCTTGGGAGAGGCACTTTCCATGAATTTCACATTTGGCTCGTGCGTTTCGCAGATTGACGATAAACTCCGAGGTCACGCCTCTTAAATAACCCAATAGTGTTGAGAGGGGTGTTAAACGTATACTATTTCACCATTGTTTTGTCATAACATTATTGTGAGAAACAAATTCTTTCTCTAACTAGAATCAACATAGTTGGGGTTTTTTAATTGTTTAATTTGTGTTGTATCTATATAGGAACCAGAGATGACAACAATAAAAGTTAAGAACGTACGCGTAACTGTCGCCCTCAAAACAGAACGTTGTCTTAGAATACACCCGAGTTCGATTCCAGTGTTGGGAGAATTTTTATATAGTATCTCGGTCTTTCTGCTGAGACGTTGTATCCTTTTCAGCCTAAGTTGGCCCTGACAGGCAACGCTGAAGCAGCTTGCCTCTTTAATGGTTTAAATAGTGTACACACTTAATTAAAAAAATCAACATAGATGCCACCGGTATCTGTGATGTAATAGCTCTGCTCTGTTTCGCCATTGCATGCTGAAAACGCGAGTCGGCTCCAAAGCATTTGAACTGCTTTATCGAGTATCTCCGTCTGGCGCTGCCCCACTAGGTTGTCATGGCTGAAAGGGGTTGAAGCCCGCCTCCTAAATGATCTAAATCAATTTTTTTAACTCCTTATTTCCGGCAAGCTGCTATCTGCAGCTCGGTCACAATCCTTTACGATGACGACGATGCTATATATTAATATTTCAAAGTGCCGAACAAGTCCCTCCTACCAGGCGTTCTTTTATTTGATGAAACAACTTTTCAAAAAGGTTCATGTTTTAAAATGACCAATTCAGGGAAGTGTATGACACTTTCAGGTTTCGTACCTAAAGAGGGCGCTGGGAATAGAAGAAAGCTCCCTCACATAAAAACACTTGAATTTTTTGGCCTGCCAGTACACCCTAATAGCGAAAGATTTTGGAAAGTGGCGTACACGTCGTCCGATCTTTTCGGTTTGTCTCATGTATGGTTATGAAATCAGAAAAAAAGGCCGCAGGGCGACATTCAAATAAGAACCAACTGGGGTAAATTGCTTATAATCCCCCCTCTTATCCTTGGCTGATTCCCATATTGCATCTCAGGGTTGTGATATGATGTAAAAAAAGGAGATGTAATTATGTAAGAAGCTATATTATGGTTACCACAGCTTCCTAAATGCTCAGGGCGTGTTTGCTATGACGTTAATACAGTCAGAGAATATTGTGGCCGTCTAAGTTCTACAATAAACTAAAAATCCTTGGAAGTTATTGTTGACTTTATCAAAGTTTTTACTCCTGTGTCCAATAAAAGCTACGCTTACAAAATCGAAACGTTTCAAGGGACTGAATTTAGAATAAAGACTGGGGTGAAAAGTAAGAGGGTGAGGGTCGAGCTGCATTTTACGACTAAATGGAGAGGGTGAACAGGTTATAAACAACTATAAAAAACTTGACGTTAAACAGCTCTTTGTCAAGAAAGTTGTTTTGTTTGTAGAACACAATTGGTTATTTTGTAAAGTACAATTTGAAAAGTGTTAACTCTTTGAGAACGCGCATTCTTGCCACTAGACAACGCTTGAAGATACCGTGTTTTGAGACAAGTTAAGAAAAAATCATAATTTCGTTTCGTTTAGTTTTAAAAATCTATTTTCATCATTTAAAACTTGAAGATGCACGTGACAACATACAGACTATAAACGTGTATGCCGCCAATACATGTTTGTAATTAGTGAATGATGGTTCGAACTGAGCAGTAACTTTACCTTTTGCCTACTGCTAGCCGGACCTATGTGTCCTCTATATCATAAATGAGTTCCTGAATACACAGCTA